GTGCTATTTACTTATTTAAAATATTTTTACTTCACCTTTCTCCTTGGAAGGACCCAAGGCACTACATCAAATCATGTTCTATTTGGAACATAATTTGGAAATCTGTCAATAAAATTTTTGAGAAAAGTTTCTTTAAAAATTTTCAACTCATATTTCTGTGGAGAACCTCCATTACTGATCATAATCCACAGTGATGATGTATAGGTCTAGTTTATAGTAAATTGTGCAATATCAGAAACACTTCATTTAAATTGCTACACTTGAATTGTGCTAAGACAGCTTCCCTTTATCCATTGAACATTTTATTCAAACATTCAGATTTATAAGGGTGTCAAGATGACTTTGGTGTAAAGTCAATATCAGGCAAAATTTTCAGTCCTTAGAAAATCATTATAATGTGTCTGCTGTTCCTTCCTTGGGAAGGGCATCTGATTGTTGTGGCAGTTCTCTCTTGTTCTGTGTATCTATCAACTGTCAAGGAGTCACATAAAACAGATGCTCTTGGTTAGTGAACAAAGAGATAAGAACATAATCAGTTTCTAATGTTGCTGTAGCTGCTGCTGGTTAACCAGCTGCTGATTAATTCAGCTTCATGTCTGCAGTGAGATCTGGTACCCTGTTTTCCCCCAAATAAGACAGGGTCTTATATTAATTTTTGCTCCAAAAACGCATTAGGGCTTATTTTCAGGGGATGTTTTATTTTTTCATGTACAACCATCTACATTTATTCAAATGCTGTCATGTCATCTTCTGGTTGCTGCACAAGGTTGGAGGGCGGGGTTTCACTTAAGTAGGGCTTATTTTTGGGGTAGGGCTTATATTATGAGCATCCTTAAAAATCCTGCTAGGGCTTATGTTCAGGTTAGGTCTTATTTTAGGGGAAACAGGGTACATTTCTTATTTTAATCACTTCAGCAATTGGTTGGAGAGCTCTTTAACCACCACTAATTTTATATTTTTCAAAAGTCAATATTTTTAAGAGTACAAAACCTACATTTCCAGGGGCAGAATGATCTTTCTGAGCACTCACTATTTCTGGAATATATTTTCAGCTCATGCCATTCTGTATTTCTGTTTGAGACTACAGTACTATGTATCATGGTTTTCAGCTTTATTAATGTTCTTTAAGGATTCGATTCATAAGGAGAGTTTTCTGCTGCTCTTTTTAGATTCAATCTTAAATGGAGTGGTTTTCCCTCTGTGTGCGTAGCCCCATTATGTCCTGCATATTCTTCATCACATATTGTTTATTTAATTGTTCTAATCATTACATATCATGAATTAGGTTGTCATTTCCTTCATTGCATAATATAGACAGTTTGCTTCATAACAAAATGTTTGGTGGCTTGTCTCTTACATGTCTGGAAGAGCAAGGAAATTAATACTCATTCTGTTGGTCATTGCTGTATTGTGCCTTGTTATCTCAAATCTCTCTGAATTGGAGATCACTCAACAAGTGCTGTGCTGCCCTTGACATCACTAAAAGAAGTTTATGACTATGTGGGACTTCTGTAACTTTTTGAAATTCTCTGGTTTTTTAAATGTGGCATTACTAATGCAGGTAGAACTGTTGTTGGATCACTATAGACTTAGTCACTGCTGTCAGTGAGCCTTGCAGAACATTTATTACATAGTAGAAAACCATAATTATTAGTGTTTATCTGGCTTACTGTCTCTGTATCATCAATCCTGGTGATAAACTTTGTGATCACTCTTAGAGGTATGCAAATGTGTGTTCTTGAACTACATAGCTGCCTGTAGAATTGTGAAGGTTGTAATCAAAACAACAAATCTACATATGCATGTTCACTCTTAATCCAATTCTGTCTAATAGCTGTGATTCAGAGAACAGGTTTTTGTTGTCAGTTGTTGTGTTACCATCTAAACACAATTTTAAACCTTCCACACGTTTATTGTTTTTCTATTATGCTCAGGATGGCAGAACTGTGAGAAGAATGAATCAGTCACTGAAATCTTATTGGCATAAATTTGCCTGTGGAAGGCTGATGATTTCAGCAGCAATTGATGATTTTTGGAAATTAAAGATTTCCTACCTCTGTCCTGTGGCTTCCACAGCTCCCATGTAATCTCTTTCGCCACGTGGAAGCTATAGGAACTGTGATTTTGGAGAAATAAGTCTAATTATAGAAAAGCACTGCTGCCAGGATAGCATTACTGGTGGTGACAGTTTTTGGTAGTCAAAATCTTCCTTCTATCCCATGGTTCCCATGGGATAATATTTAATTTCTGAAAATTGCTCACTGCTAATGATATCAGCAACCCTCTGTAGGCACAGTTAAACCAACAGGATTTCAGCCAGTGAAGAATAGCATCTATTCCCACTCCCCCATTTAGTCACTTTAATTTCCACGACCTTGAAAGGAGTATTAAAGCTTTGTGTAGGTTTTTACTTCTCTTCCACTCTGAAATCTGATAAGTGTTAAGTGTTGTAAATTGACGTGGAATTGAAGAATTGAGTTGATACACTTCTATTTTAATATAATTTAATATTATGTAAAATTGAATTGTTATGACATAATCTAGTTCTTGTTACAATCAGCATCTGTGCAGTAGCTTAACATGTATATGTTGATACTAAGTTTTATTAACAGTGTTTCTTGTACTACTAAATTAGTAAGTGGCTTAAACTGTTATCTTAAGATATGAACTTTCTATATTCAAAGTGCATGGTATTATTTGTTTGTTTTTTAGACTATGGCTTTGTTTTTATATCACTCTTTCATGTAGATTTGAAAAAAAAATGCTATGAAGTCTTGAAATTGAAACTATCTTAGTACCTGTACAGTGGTGCCTCGCATTACGATGTTAATTCGTTCCAGCAAAATCGCTGTAGAATGAAAATGTCGTAATGCGAAAATAAAAAGCCCATAGAAACGCATTAAAACCCGTTTAATGCGTTCTGATGGGCTGGAAACTCACCGTCCAGCGAAGATCCTCCATAGGGTGGCCATTTTCGCTGCCTGTGCAGCGAGGAATCCATCCCAGAAAACAGTGGGGAGCCATTTTGTTTACCCGGTGGCCATTTTGAAACTGCCAATCAGCTGTCCGAAAATCATCGTTTTGCGAAGAATTGGTTCCTGAAGCAGGGAACCGATCATCGCAAAGTGAAATTCCCCCATAGGAAACATCGTAAAGCGATCGCGAAAGCGATCACAAAAAGTTCATTGTAATGCGGTTTCGTCGTTAAATGGAGCGATCGTAAAGCGAGGCACCACTGTACATAGTTAAAAGCATTCTTATGAAAAATCTGAATAATTTGAAATTTACCTCATCTTTTTGGCTTGTCCTTAATAGCTTCTTGGTGAAATTCTTAGTATATAGCAGTCCTTCAAATGGTAGCATCTAAGCAAGAACACATGCTAAAAATCTTAGGGTTTCACTTAGCCTGATTGAGGTTTTTTTGAACGTAGGTATTTGTTGGCAGTTTAGTCTTAGTATAGGTACTACTTGTATAGAATATACACAGAAGCTTGGTAGGGCTACTCTTGATTTGCCTTTTCAATAGAAGTTTGACCATGTTCCTCTTGGCACTTATATATAGTTGACAAGATAAGCTCACTTTTACCATACCAGGTAAATCCGTGTTGGTTCTAAATTATATTAGCTTTCATCTTATTTGAAAAGAACTTTCATCTTATTCGAGCAGAAAACATCTACAACCCAAGAGGGAGAAATATAAAAGTTCAGCACAATAGAAAGCCGGATGTTGTAGCTGGTACAAACTGTGCCAGCCATGAAATTTGTATTGTATATAGTTTCCATAATTTCTTTTTGGTAGCATTGAATAAGGAAGAATGCAAGATTATTTTTCAACAAAGCTGGCTTGCTTCCAAACCCCCACAAAGAGCAGCCAGGCACTTTGGACGTTTAGATTTCAGTGGACACAAAATGCATACAGTGGACCCTCGACTTACAAACTTTTCGAGTTACAGACTTCTCTGGCTGCAAAATTTAGGTTTGACTTTCAGCCAGAGAATCGACTTACAGACCAGAAAAAACCAAAATGGAACAAAAATGGAACAAAAATGTCCGGTTACAGATTAATCGGTTTTCAATGCATTGTAGGTCAATAGAGACTCGACCTACAGACTTTTCGACCTGCAGCCACCGTTCCAATACGGATTAATTCCGTAAGTAGAGGGTCCACTGTACTGTATACTGTAACTGAATTAACACAAGGTGCTAGGGTGAGACATGCTTTTCTTTAAAAGAAATTACCATAAAATATATTAAATTCAGAGTGGTGTTTACTGTAGAAAGGGGGGGGAACACATGATATCAGTTGAAAGGTATGAGTATGTCCCATTTCCGTAGGTGTTAACAGTATGACTGTTGTGACCAAGTAGTCAGTGGCTTAGACAGCATATATATTATTTAGTTTTCTGATAAGAATATGCCACGGTAGGACTGTATCCTCCAAATTAGGCCTTTTTAAGAGCTTTATGTCCCCAACTGAGTTTCTACTATGGATGCAGTTCTTCATACTAAGTTGTTTTTAGTGTTGCTAGATAAGGAGAGGCTACAGTATGAATGTCTATAATATTTAAGCGAGATAATCAGCCTTTTGTGCCATACTGTGGAAGGCATAGCCGTGAAAACTATTGGGATGCATTCTTTCTCTTTGAGAGAGAACAATTCCTTTGGTTTTGATTTCAGCTCCTTTATTTTGTGTGTGTGTGTGCGTGTGCGTGTGCGTGTGTGTGTGTGTGTGTGTTTTTTTTTATATATATATAAAATAAAAACCCAAAAAGGCTTCTTAGTAAAGATGCGTAGTGACATGTCCTCCCACCTTGGTCCAAAGTGGTTAGCCCAGTATTTCCTTAGCCTCACCATGACAGTTTATGATACAGATAGCAGGCCAGAGTTTCTGCTGTATTATCTGTCTTCTTTTCCCTTCTCCTCATGCTCCATTCCTTAAACTTATATATGCATTTCTACAAAGAATTGTTAAGCTCTCCTTTTTTTCCCCCTTGCCCCAGGTCCAGCAAGACTATGAATCTCTGTTCCAAATGCTTTGCTGGTAAGTGCAGTGTAAAGGTTTCATCTTGAAGGGGTTTCTGTGCCTGAAAAACAATGATAGTCTAAATCAGTTGGCAACCTTCATCTTGGAGTTTTGTATGGGTGTCTGTTTCTTAGCGTGTGTGCATGAAATCAGATTTTTCTCACTCCAGTGCTTCATTTTTTTTGCTCAGTTTTGGTGAAACAATCTCCAGTGTGTATAAAATAACTTCTTGTGTACAGGCACCAATCAAGCCTTCAGAACTCAGGAATGTCCTTGAACTAGACAACTCCTGTTACAACAACTTGTGTTAAAAGTTTGGATTACTGGGTTATAATTTTGAATTCAGTAATTGAATTCCGTTAACTAGTTAGTGCTAAAGTTTGTGGCTCTTGATCCTCTTGCACATGGGAGAATATTCCTGCCATTGATAGAATATTTGACTGTATGTGCTAACGGGGGGTGTAGATAATTCTTGAACATGTACATTGCTTTTACTATTCTTTATTTTGTCCTCTCAATAATAGTTACTGTTATTCCCATTGAACAAGTGGGGAGCAAAGGCAGAAGTGTTGAGATTTGTTCAGATTGTTCAGACCTCTATATATCTGAGCACAGTTTTGAATATTGTTTTCTCAGGTGTAAATCCATTATTGTGTTTTTACAAGATGTCCTCTTAACTTGTAGCAAGAGCTTTTAAGTTCAAATATTTTAGTCCTGTAGCATTACAATTAGAGATGGCTATGGACCAAACTACAAACCAAAAAACAAAACAAAACAAAAAAAAACCACCACAAAGCAGGCTGGTTCATAGTTCAGTTTGGCATTCCATTTTGCCCAAATGAAACAAAGCACTGAACTTTTTTTCCATCCAGCACTTCATTTTGGCAAAATGGATAGCCCTGTCCCCTTCCTGCTGTGCCCACATTACCTTCCTAACTGGTCCTGTTGCCTTCTCCTCTTCCCTCTCTGCTGCCACCATCTTCAGAGACAGCAGCCCAGTATCCCTTCTGGGAGCTGAGCCAGCTGTCTCTCCATATTTTATTTATTTACAATATTTTTTAGCCGCACCATTGCCAGTGGCTTCATATGCACCAGTCAATCAGTTGACAGGCACCCACATGTTCAGAGACACTAGGCCTGGATCCTGGAAGGGAAGCTAGGCTGTCTCTGCACATGTGCTGGCCTATCAGCATGGGGGCAGTGGTGCAACTGTAGAAGATAAGCTCTGCCCCACTAGGCACTAACCAAAACCCGAGCTCGTTCAAGGTTCAGTTTTCTGGTTGGTTCATCACAAACCACAATTTTTCATGGTTTGTGCCCATCTAATTACGATCATATGGTTGATAGAAAGAAACTTTGATAGAAAGAAACTATCAGTAAATTTTGAAAATGCTTATATACTAAATCAAATATTTATATTCAGCATAGCATTAGGCAAGTCACATACTCCAGCCCTTTCTTCCTGATATGGAGAAATATTAAAGTAGACAAGGGAATAGTCTTAAATAACAGTTTGCATGACAACTGAAAGATGGGCAGACTGTAGTGACCCCCTAAGTATGTAAAATATGATTGAAGGAATTAGGAGAAATAAAAGGAGCTGAATGAATGAACTCCTTTGTAATGTCTATGTCAAGTTCAGGTATGTAACTTAAATGTTCTTCTGCTGAAGTCACTCTGGAGCAATTCAGCTGTTAATAAGCCTCCACCTCAGTCTCAGCACCAGTAAGGTAGCATGTGTTACTACAATGAAAAGTCTTGTGATCAGATCCACATCTGATTTGTATAGTCCAACGTTGATTTTAGAATTTTAAGATATTTTGAAAACAGTGAATAATATTTAGGATCCCTTTAAAGGAAGGAAAACCACCAAAGACAGTGACAGGTTGAATTTCAGAATTACTGTTTTAGTTCAAACAGTTGGAAGTACCTAACTAGTTTCAGTAATAGAGTTTCTATTGTGCTCTATGTGTCTGTGAGCATTTACAACAAAATGCAAATGAAGCTGGATAGTTAATTTGAGAACCTGTAAAATGCTGCGTCTGTTTAAAGCCAAAACCACTAGGTACTAAAGTGCTAGTTTTAATAACTTACTGTGGCATGAGATTTCAAACTAAGACCCACTTCATCAACTGTAGCTGTACTATAACCCAAGAAGCTTGGTAAATAGAAATGTACCATGGATATGTCGATATTGTGAGTACTGTATCAGATGCATATAAACAGCAGTTCACTAGCTTGTGCTCTGCCACATTCATCAGGATATACGAGAAGTTCATACATAAAGGCATATCTCTTGGACTAAGTACACAAGTCTGTTAAGGACCATTCTCACCCTGTATTTAACTCTAAAGGCCCTATTCCCAATATATACAGTACGTTGATCATAAATTCCAGATAATACTTCATGTGTCTAATGAATTGGAATATATTTCAGAAGCACTTCTGTCATAATAAATGTATCAGTCTGTAAGGCTTTTTCCCTGCAACCAGCTAGCATTTTCTCCTCTAGAATTTCTTACTTCCCTCTCTTCACTTCATTTAAGCATAAGAATATGATTCATTGTCCTGTCATTGTGATATAGAATACCATTGCAATATAAAATATAAAAAATGGATTATGTTATTAAAACTTAAGTTCTAAAATTTGATTGTCCCACCTTGTCAGTTTTAAATGTTTTTAAGTGCCAAAATAAACATATGTTTAGACTGCAAGGATGTGATTTCTCAGTGCACTGTCAGGGAGTTAGACATTTAGGCAAAAATGTGAAGTACAAGTATAATTTGGCTTCCTGGATACCAATTGTTCTTTTCCATTATCAAATTACTATAAAACAATCCCCTGATAGTATGGTGACTGACATTTTTTCTCCGAGGTTCAAATACATTAGTGTAGTACCCTGGGATTTTAGCTTAAACAAGAAAAATGTTGATCTTTTAAAACTGAACTTTAGTATAATGAAAATAGTTAAAGAACTCATGAGCTTGAATTCTCAGAGACATATGTATATTTAAGCCATATTTTAATGTTCATATTTAACTAGATTTCTTAGAAACTGAATGTATGAAGGAATATTTGAGGTTTTTAATCTTCACTTCATTTTCTCTTTCTCTCTCTCTTATTTTTTTTTAGAAAAAAGAAATCCACACAATGAAAAAGGTTAGTAACAAACAAAATTCATTGAAATCTTTTTTAAACAGTTTAGGTCTCCTATCTCTGTCCTTTCCACAACCCAATTGCTTTTGTTTCAAATTCCATAGAAACAATACATAAATGTATACATTAGAGCATCAACAAAGTTTTAGTAACAGAGGCATTTCTCAGTATTTCACATGACTAGATAAAAAGTATATTATATTCCTTCCAATTAAATCTTCTGTATTTCAGATATATTATGATCTGACATATTATAGAGACAAAAAGTATGCTTAAATTATATGGGGTCTATTCTGAATCAAGTACTGTATAGGACAGTCTAAGGCCAAGTAAAGAAAGTGTCTTGAATATGTTTGAAGTAGTAACAAATGAATGACTAAATGATCACATGTTGCTTGCCAATTTCATTTCACCTGTTGGGAAAAAGCTGGAGGCTAAGTGTTTCCATGCACAACTGAAAGGTCTTAAAATTCCACATACTGAGTTGGTCCAGAGCACTAATTATGCAGGAAGCATGGTCCGAAAGACATGCTGCTGGGTACCCAGTTTCAAGATAGATCCTGCACTATGCTGCCTACTTTTGTCATTGTACTCCACCAGATGTAGATGGGGTGGCACATTGTCTTGCTTTAATCTGCTATCCTTAAATGTATAGTTTGAATGTGAAGAATGCACACAATGCAAATAAGTGGGAATACATTTGCAGGTAGTTATGCAAAGAAAAGGTAAAATGTACAAAATATTGTGTTACAGACAATTATAAAGTCTTTTCTGCAAGTTTATAAGAGAGAGCTTCTCTTGATACACTTTCAGGCTGGTAATTATTTGTATTGTTTTATCTTCCCATTCGTTTGTATACATTTTGTTAAACTGAATTACAGCCTTCAAGTAGATATGAGTTACAGATTCTCAAGAGAACTTCTAGATTACCTGGTCCAACCCACAGCTTCATGCATTTTTGCAGTGCAGGGTGCAGCCATAGAATCTCTTGCAGATGCCTGTTCCACCTCTGCTTAAATATTTCCAGTAAAGGAGAACTTGCTATCTGCTGAAGAAGTGTTCTTCACCTTTGAATAGCTCATACTGTACTGCTAGGCAGGAAAATCTTAATTTTTAATCCATGTGTAGTCCAGCATCACAGTGCCTAAAACACAGGATCTTTGATTGCTACAGCAAACATACTGTATGACAGCAAACTAAAAATTCGGATGACCTGCCCATGGAATTAGATGCTCTGGTGATACTAATGAGGTGCTTCTGTTCAAATGTGTGAATGGATGCAAGAAACTTGCAACTTGCTGCCTCAATTGCTAAGCAATTGTTTCAAGTTGTTTCCCTGTCTCTTTAGGGATATTGTAAATGAGGAAGTCCAAGAAAATACTGTTGTTTTGTGTGTCATCTGTCTCCTCCTACTTACTGCAACCGTATGACCTCCAAAATGTCCTGCCTTTAAGAGCCGTTCTAAGCTCTTGCAAACTCAAGCCTGTAGCTTTCTTTTATGCAGTTAATCCACCTTTTATAGTATTATTGTCTTTTCCAGTGTGTTTCTTGTGATGTGCCCAAAGTACAACATCCCTCAGTTTCATCATTTGTTTTTAGATAGGGTTCAGGATTGATTTGATTTAGAACCCACTTGCTTGTCTTTCTGATGGTCCAGGATATCCTTAATGCTGTCTCCAATATCATATTTTGAATTATTTTTCCCAGTCTGCTTTTTTCAATGTGCAATTTAACATCCATGCATGATAACCAGAACTCCAATCATCGTGAAGATCTTGGACTTGGTTAACAGTGGCAGATACTTGATGATCTTCTATAGTTCCTTCATAGCTGCCTTCTCAAAACTAAATCTTCCTCTGGTTTCTTGCCTGCAGTCTCCATTTGAATTAATGACAGAAGTGAGGTATACAAAACTTTTTAACAATTTCAGTTTCTTCATTGTCAACATTAACGTTACGTAATTCATCAGTAGTCATGATTTTTGTTTTAATGTTCATCTACAGTTCTGCTTTTTCACTGTTAATCATCATTAACATCTTAGTATTGCCAGAAATCTTAAACCACTGAGCTATCCAGCATTTCTCTTTCACCTTGCTTGGCAGTCATTTCAAGTCATTGCTGCTTTCTTCCAGTAATATGATATCATCTACAGATCTTAAATTATTGATGTTTCTTCCACAAATTTGCAGTCTACCTTCATCTGAATTTAGTCTATCTTTCAATATATATGTTCTGTATTCAGACTGGATGATTAGGGAGATAAAATACACCCAAGTCCAATACATTTGCCTAAGAGCAACCGTTCTGTTTCTTCATTGTTTAAACTTCCCATTGCTTGCTTTACAGTGTAGAGTTTACCTTAATTCATACAATGTGGAAGGGATTGCCACTCTTGAATTGGCCTCCTCAGCCACACTAGACGCTGTTCCAAGTCCTCCATATAGAGCACGTTACCATAATCTTTCGAGACTGAAAGATGCCTAACCCCATGTTCCACATTCCAATAATATGAGTTGTACAAGGGGGTGCTGATAAGTATTGAGCCTTTCCCAGAAAAAATTGAGCTAGGAAGCTATAAATTGCAGGGTGTATTGGCCAATTTGTCTGTATTCAATGGTGCAAAAATCAACTACCAATTATTTTAACTTATCTTTCATGTTCAGGTCCAAAGTGAACATGGCAGCACCTCCAGAAAAGTTCATTGTGGAAGAGCATAGAGATATAATCAAGTTCCTGTTTCTCCAAGGGAAAGGTGCAAAGCAGATCGATGATGAAATGTCACAAACTAGGGGTGACAGTGGCCCTTCATATGCAACAGTTAAACATTGGGTTGTCAATTTTAAAACTTGCCATTTTGGTATTGAAAGTGAAAAACCCAGTGGAAGCCCTATTTCTGTCTCTGTACTTGCAAATGTGAAAGCCATCCATGACATGATCATGGAGGAC